AGCGCCGCCCGACGCGCCGCCGCACCCATCGCAGGATGGCTGCTGCGACCGCGTGGCGGACGCCGGAGAGCGCCGCGCCCGCAGCGCTGTGGCCGTCGCCGTCGTCGTCGTCGTCGTCGTCGTCATCGACGCCGTCGCTGTCGCCGTCGTGGTTGTCGTCGCCGTCGTCGTCGCCGCCGTCGCCGTCGCCGTCGCCGTGACCGTCGTTCCCGTCGCCGTCGCCGACGTCGTCGTCGTCGTCGTCGTCGTCGCCTTCGCCGTCGCCGTCGCCGTCGTTCTCGCCGTCGCCGTCGCCGTCGCCGTCGTTCTCGCCGTCGCCGTCGCCGTCGTCGCCGTCGCCGTCGCCGTCGTCGTCGCCGTCGCCGTCGTCGTCGCCGTCGGCCGTCGCCGTCGCCGTCGCCGTCGCCGTCGCCGTCGTCGTCGTCGTCGCCGTCGCCGTCGCCGTCGCTGTCGCCGTCCGCCGTCGCTTGCCGTCCGCCGTCGCCGTCGTCGTCGCAGTCGTTGCGCCGTCCCCTCGCCGTCGTCGCTGTTCGCCGTCGCCGTCGCCGTTACCGTCGCGTCCGCCGTCGCCCATGCCGTCGTGCGTCGACGTCCTGTCGCCGTCGCCGACGTCGTCGTGTCGTCGTCGCCCCCTGCCGTCCGCCGTCGTTTGTCGCCGTCGGCCCGTCCGTCTCCGCCGTCGCCGTCGCCGTCGCTGTCGCCGTCGCCGTCGCCGTCGCCGTCGCCTCGCGCGTCGCGGTCGTCGTCAATCGTCGCCGTCGCCGTCGTCGCCGTCGCAGTCGCCGTCGCCGTCGTCGTCGTCGCCGTCGCGTCGCCGTCGCCGTCGCCGACGTCGTTGTCGGTCGTCGTCGTCGTCGCCCGCCGTCGCCGTCGCCGTCGCCGTCGCCGTCCGCCGTCCGCCGTCGTTCTCAGCCGTCGCCGTCGCCGTCGTTCTCTCGCCGTCCCGTCGCCGTCGTTCGCCGCGCCTCGCCGTCGTCAGTCGGCCGTCGCCGTCGTCGTCGCCGTCGCCGTCGCCGCGCCGTCGCCGTCGCCGTCGCCGTCGTCGTCGTCGTCGCCGTCGTCGTCGCCGTCGCCGTCGCCGTCCGCCGTCGCCGTCGCCGTTCGCCGTTGCCGTCGCTGTTGCCGTTGCCGTCGCCGTCGCCGTCGCCGTCGTTCTCGCCGTCCGCCTCGCCGTCGCCGTCGTCGCTGTCGCCGTTGCCGTCGCCGTCGCCCCTGCCGTCGTCGCCGTCGCCGTTGCCGTCGCCGTCGCCGTCGCCGTCGCCGTCGCCGTCGCCGTCCGTCGTCCGCCGTCGCCGTCGCCGTTGCTGTCGCCGTCGCCGTCGCCGTCGCCGTCGCCGTCGCCATTGCCGTGGCCGTCGCCGTCGCCGTCGCCGTCGTTTCCCTTCATGGTTGGCGGCACGGGTTGTAAGGCCTTGGCAATAAGATAGCCATAACCCTTCGGCCTTCGGTTGGTCCTGCCCGCAGCCCCGATGGGCCCCCCGGGCTGGTGGGAGGCACGGGCGCAGGGCTTCGTGCGGTGAGAGGCGGCAAGTGACCGGCAGTGAGCTGCAGCCAGCGGTGAGATGGGGGCTGGACGCGCCGGAGGGGAGCGAGGCTGCGCTGGCTGGGCGTTGCTTCGTGTGGGGGGCGGCAAATGCGGCGGAGAAAATTTCACCTTTCGTGCCCCTTTCGGAGCCCCAAGGGGGCTCCATTAAGGCCCTTTTTGATGCACGAGGGGTGCGCACTTCTCCCCCCCTCCTATGAATCGCCCCCCAGTAATCAGCGCCCGAGCTGGGGAGAAAGCCAAAGCAGGACCGAACGGAAGCAAGCGCCCACTGCAGGCACGTGAGGCACCAGCCTGCTGGAGGCGAGACAGACCGGACAGTCTGGGGTTTTACACGGACACGCGTAAGCACACGTACGCACAAATCGGGTGGTGTCGGACGTGCGCACACATACACACACGCACACACACACACACACGCGCACGGCACATGCACACCCACACGCACACTCTTTTTGGCGTCCCGGCCTCGCGCGCAACGTCGAGGCGGGGAAAGTTGAAAACACCAGCAGCGCGCGAGTGTCTAACCGCCCGAGCCCTCAGTGACCACTGAGGGCCACGCAGAGCCGGCGCACACGCACCCGCGCACACACACGCACGCACACGCATGCGCACGCGCACACACACACACATGTACACGCACACGCACACACGCACGCACGCACGCACGCACGCGCGCACGCACGCACGCACGCCCGCCCGCCCGCCCGCCCGCACGCACGCGCACGCACACGCACGCACACACACATTCAACACAACACAACACGACACAACACAACACAACGCACTACAATACAACACAACACAACACAAAAAAATACAATGCAATACAACATAACATATCACAGCACAACACACCACACCACACCACAACACGACACAACACATCACAACACACAGCACACAACACAGCACACAGCACACAACACACAACATTCTACACACAACACACAGCAC